TTTTTTTTTTTTGAGATGGAGTCTCACTCAGTCGCCCAGGCTGGAGTGCAGTGGCACGATCTCAGCTCACTGCAAGCTCTGCCTCCTGGGTTCACGCCTTCTCCTGCCTTTGCCTCCCGAGTAGCTGGGACTACAGGCGCCCGCCACCACGCCCTGCTAATTTTTTGTATTTTTAGTAGAGACGGGGTTTCACCGTTGTCTCGATCTCGTGACCTCATGATCCGCCCGCCTCGGCCTCCCAAAGTGCTGGGATTACAGGTGTGAGCCACCGCGCCCAGCCAATGTCCTTCTTAAAACAAGTTTGCTTTTCTAAGTGACAGAGCTCAGAAAACAAACAAACAAAAATGTTTGTCTGAATTGAGATCTTGGTTGGGTGCAGTGGCTCACACCTATAATCCCAGCACTGGGAGGCTGAGGTAGGTGGATCACTTGAGGTCAGGAGTTCAAGACCAGCCTGACCAACATGGTGAAACCACGTCTCTACTAAAAATACAAAAATTAGCCAGGCGTGGTGGTAGGCGCTTGTAATTCCAGCTACTTGGGAGGCTGAGGCAGGAGGATCATTTGAACCTGGGAGGGAGAGGTTACAGTGAGTTGAGATCGTGCCACTGCATTCCAGCCTGGGCAACAGAGTGAGACTCCATCTCCAAGGAAAAAAAAAACATTTGAGATCTCAACTGAACATTGCAACTGGAAGTCCTTTTAAAAATCTATCGTTTTTCTCAAGTTTACTTTTTTTTTTTACTTGAAATTTATTTTCTTTCATTTCCTTTCATTTTCCTTTCTTTCTCTCTATTTTATTTTATTTGTTTTTTAAGAAACTAGATAGAGCCAGGCTGGGGGTGCACACCTGCAACCCCACTATTAGGGAGACTGAGGCAGGAGGATCCCTTGAGCCCAGAAGCTCAAAGATATAGTGCGCAATAATGGTGCCTGTGAAAAGCCACTGTGCTCCAGCCTGGGCAACGTAGCAAGACTCCATCTCTACAAAAACTAAATAATACATTTTTAAAAAGAAAGAAATTAAGTGGTTTATGCTGTGGCATTTTCCCTAGTCTGGATTTTGCTGATAGCATCCCTATGGAGTTGTTTCCACATCTTCCCGTGTCCCTTGTGTTTTTTGTTTGTTTGTTGTTGTTGTTGTTGTTTTTGAGACGAAGTCTCACTCAGTTGTCCAGGCTAGAGTGCAATGGTGCAATCTCAGCTCACTGCAACCTCTGCCTCCTGAGTTCAAGGGATTCTCCAGCCTCAGCCTCCCAAGTAGCTGGGATTACAGGCACCCACCATCATGTCCGGCTAATTTTTGGTAGAGACGAGGTTTCACCATGTTGGCCAGGCTGGTCTCGAACTCCTGACCTCAGCTGATCTGCCTGCTTTGGCCTCCCGAAGGGCTGGGATTATAGGCGTGAGCCACCACACCTGGCCCCTGTGCCCCTTGTCTTCTCTGCTAATTGGTAGTTAGATCTAAAAGGTTTGATTAGACTGGGTTTGACTTTTTTTTTTTTTTTTTTAAGATAAGGTCTCACTTTGTCTCCCAGGCTAGAGTGCAGTGATACGATCTCAGCTCACTGCAGCCTCTACCTCTTGGGTTCAAGCTGTCTTCCTGCCTTAGCCCCTAGTAGCTGGGACTACAGGCGCACGCCACCACACCCAGCTAATTTTTTGTATTTTTTGTAGAGATGGGGTTTTGCCCATGGTGGTCTTGAACTCCTGAGCTCAGGCATTCCACCTGCCTCAGCCTCCCAAAGTGC